TCAGAGGTCATGGAGAGCTTTTGAGTGTAGGATTGGAAACAACTGTTTCCTGAGTTATTTGCCTTTTTTATCTTTTGAAGTGAATTTCTTTGTACATAAGCTGCCAGTTTGGATGTATATTGTACCATTTTAAAGCAGTTTTAATAAGACTGCTGAGAGTACACTCAGCCTTGGGTAAGAACCTTAACTTATAAATGACACCTTATACATACTTTCCAACAGCTGATATTCCAATAGCTTTCCTTTATAAATTTTTTTTATTAATATTACTAAAAAGCTAATATTTAATTGTCTTGTATATAACATACAGTGAAGATAAATATTTTCTCCAGTAAATATTATAACAAATAAATAACAAGTCTAGTATATCCAGATACATCAGAATAAAGTAGCTACTAGCTAACAATGTTTATAAATTACACTATACTTTACTACGCCTGTCTTATCTGCCTCAGAGCTAACTTACTCGAACTGTCTCCATCACTGCTCTTACCAAATCTCCAGTCTGCATCATTCTCATATCTATTCAAAAGTAGTATTGCCATTAAAACTAGATTTTATCCATAATGCAAATGTCATTAACATACACCTAATCAACAATATATTACTAGCATTCATGTTGTTATTGTTGCAACTTAAAAGTTCACAGCTGACCTTGCTAGCTAGCTAACCCATTGCAATATTGCACGTTACACTATTCCACAGTGTTGCCACTTGGAAACACATACATTTAAACGATTTACAGAAAACTTAATTGATAAAAAAAATTGAGTAGTGAATATGTCATCGTAACTTACTGGAGGTGATGTTAAAGATTTCTTTGTTGATCTGACATGAGTTGATGCTTTGTCTTTATTGACGTTAACGTTTGCATTCAGCAACTACTCACAATGAACGCCAGTCTGCCAGAAATCACGCCACAGAAAAACACTGCATGAGCTCTATTTTGACAGTCCATGCCACAGAGCGCAAAACGCAGGGCACAAATGCTTTCAGGGCATGTCAGAACGCATTTTTGCTAATTTAAGGATGGGAAAATCTGCTTTGCGATGTGGCGCATGGTCTAAAAGGGTTGAGTTTATTTTCTTAATGAGTTATAGGTGTGTTTTGAGAATAAACCAATTAGAGTCTCATCTCCCATTCCCTTTAAGAGCCAGCTGCGTCGCGCCAAGAGCGCATTCGCTATTTACAGGACGCAAAGTAAGTCTAAGTGGAATAACTGAGCATTTCACTAGCAAACAGTTAAAAAAGTTAACAGTTAACAGTTTTTTAACAAAAAACTGTTAAACAGAGCATCTGCTGCGTGAGAATGAGAGATAATGAATCTACTTTCACATTCGCTCTTAAATAGGGAAACCTTTACGCACAGACATCAATTAGTCTATAAATAAATAATTTTGTTTGTTAAGCGCAAATATTCGTTTTAAAACTATTTCTAAATTCAGTTCTAATTTCCAGCAAATGAATAAATGAATAATAATAACAAAATGTGCTCAAAAACCTGAGTTATATCCTAAAACACATGCTGTGCCCCTTATGGTCTAAAACCTGACAGATGGGCAAATCTAAGCTTGTTTTTAATAAAACAAATATAAATATGGATATAATAATTAATACTGCTAATAATAATAACATTATACAAAAGCAAATTGTTAAGAATGAACTGAAAAAGCCTCCCGAGATGAAGAAGACATAAAAGCAGTGGTTTTTCATATTTATGTAGGCTAGAAAATAATATGTTTTGTAATATTTTAATCCTTTATATTTATATCCTATATCTATTCTTATTATATCCTATATATCCTTAATATAAATTTTTTTCATATGTAAAGATATTTGCCTATTGCTCTCTTGTGCGTATTAAGCAGTGCGTAAGCGAGGCGCAACTCTGCGCCGGAGTTTAGACCGGGTTTGTTTTGGTCTAATGAAAAATCTATTATAGTTTCTCAAAATAGCAACGCGCCAGCCGTGCGCCTCAGAACGCCTTCCTTTTTAGACCAGAACGCCTATGGGCGCACATATAAGCACTAATGCATTTGCTATTTAAACAGCGTAGCACAACGCCTCAAATCGACTCTTGCGCCAAGCTGAAACTACTAAAAGACTACTGCGCCGCGCCTCTCGCCACATTGCGCCGGGTGTATGATAGGGCCCATGTCATGTAACTTAACCAAAGCACATCATTGGCCACACTAAGGTCTTCTCTTTCCAACTAAAACAATTCAATGTTGGTCTTAAAGAAACAGTGACAGGGGAATGAACACAAATGTCATGTTGCCATATGGCAACACCATGTGGTAGAGAGTTAAGTGTGTGAAAAGCCTAGAAGCTCTCTGATGTTTGAATGCTTGAGATATTGAGATATCATTCAGAATTGTACACACACACACACACGGAAATTTTCTTAGTTTATTTCTTTAGTTAATCAGGTTATAACGCCTATATGTATAACACACTTAATGATGTTACGTAACTGTACGTTCACACCGAAAGCGGCGAGAGCGTCCAAGGTCGCTCTGGCTGCCCTGGCGACAACGCTCTCTGCCTTCAGCTCCTGCGGCGAGAGCGTCAAAACTCGCTACATTGATCTCATATTTAAAGGAGCCGTTGCAGCATATCAGTTACATTCCTGCATAAAACATGTTTCTAGCGTGAAAATGTTTCGCACTTCTTTTCAAATTCATACAACAATGGAAGATCAAGTTGCGTGTGGTGTGGCTTTGCTCTATTTATCCAATATGTGTCCATATGTCTGAAATATCCTGAAGCAGCAGTACTGTTTTGTACTGTCACATTGCGTGAGATTCCCGCTTTTTTAAGATAAATTTATGTAACATTAATGAACATCAGTAACTCGCCAGTAACTTATTTAATGTATGTTCCTGTGGGAAAAAAATTGGAAATAATTGGAAATCCGGCGACCGCAATAATTAAACCCTTGGGAACAACTGTGGTCGGAACCAAAGTTCACAGGTCTGTGTTCTCTGAACTGCTATCAAGCGATCGTCTTCATTTTGATTGCTTGCCGCAAAACCGCGTCATAGCTCATTACCATAAAGTTGACTTCATTTCAACTCTCCTCGACGCTCACGCCAGCGAAGACGAGCCGCGCTGCTCCTCGCCGCCTATCGCCGCCGGCTCTCATTGAAAATGAATGACTTCCGGCTACTTTGACGCTCTCGCCGCTTTCGGTGTGAACGTACGGTAAGAGTGTGATTGTTGATGTTTTGAGATTGTAAGCAGCATGACCGACAAACTCTGTCAACTTTAATTTAGTTGAATCCCGTTGGTCCCGCGACACAGTCTTACATCTGTTAATTGTGTCTTGGATTTTAAAACTTGAAAAGGTCAACTCTGGGTCATTCTCAGCGCTGGGTAAATCTAGCTTTTTCTTTCACACTGCTTATAATTTACTAGGTAATCCAGGGTTAAGAACAGTGTGAAAAAAATCCTCACTTTTTAAAAAAATTCAAGTAATAAAACTGAGTGTTGAGGGAAAATTGATCAAAGGTTAAAGGTCATTTAGGCCTTATGCGGTTTCAACACTTGTTCTGGAATGAACCAATTTTCTTTGCTTTTCCAGCAGAATGGCTAGTGTCTGTCCTCTAGTGGCCTCTGACTGTTACTGTCTGAATTTACGTTTTTATTCAATTTTATAGATGTGGAAATGTCAGACCAGTAGATCTTGATTTTATAGGAACTTTTTTTTGGTCCCCGAGAGGAAAATGACCCCGAAGTTATTGTAGAAGAATAAAAAATAAAGTCTGTACAGTATAAACATCATTATATAAATCCTCTTAAAGAGATATGTTCAAGCCTCTGTGTGTGTATGTGTGTGTGTGTGTGTGAGAGAGTGTCTGCACAGTCCTCTACCCTATCCTTTTACTACATTGTGCTGTATTACTAAATTTGTTCACAATTTCCCAAAACTTAGCTCAGTTACAGTCACATCAGTTTATAAGTGTGTGTGTGAGTGTGTATGTGTTTAGCTTTCCTGGTGTTTATGTCCCAAAACTTTGCTCAGTTACAGTCACATCAGTTTATAAGTGTGTGTGAGAGTGTGTATGTGTTTAGTTGTTCTGATGTTTAAGTGTTCAACTGATGTGTTTAAGTGTTTCATTCACTGCTGTCTGCTTTTTCAGCATCTTGGCTGGTTTGATGTATTTTTGATGAAAACAGGACAAAGTATATTTTATTCATGTTTTTATTTACAAATGTTTTCTTTTGTTGGGGCTGTGCCCTTTTCTCAGGATCTTCTGTGTCTTTTCCAGGATCTTTTCTTGGGGCTTGATCTTTTCTTCTGGATCCTCTGTTGTTGCTGTGACCTTTTTTTTTTAGGATTCTTTGTTGCTGCTGTGTCCTTTTTTAAGCTCTACTGTTGAATCTGTAACTTTTTTAGCGTCAGGAACTGTGGTGCTCAGTAGTGCAAATAATCTTTCCCATCCATTTGCACTACATTCCTTATTTCTTATTCCTTGACCTGAAACATACAGACACACACCAAATCAAGGTTATTGATTCAGATTCATCACAATAAACAATTGAAATGTACAATAAAAAACAAATGAAAAGAGAATCTATTTTCCTAATCATTAGAAGCTGATCTACAGTTCAGTACCTTAAACCATTGATGGAGAATGATTTCTTCCAGAGGAATCCGCTGGCTTGGGTTTTCCTGCAGGAGAGCTTGAATCAAGTCACAGCATTCTGTGCAGAACGATGGTGGGAAGAAGTGAGAGAAACACATTATCAACTTCAACTTTACATCTGCTGTCATTTTATTCATCTATAAGATCTGACTCTACTCTCCTTTAGAATCAGAACATTGTCACCATTATCCAATATCCAACTCTTAGTTTTAATCCATCATTTTGTGTGATTTAAACTACAACTGCTCATCTATGATGTGATGAATGACGTCTTACCTTCGGACAATCCAGGCTCAGTCCAGTTTCCATCATCGATCCTCTGCGTGTCCGTGACTTCAGGAAATCGTTGACACAGCAGCAGGAATAACAGAACTCCTAAAGACCATACAGTGGATGGTTCTGCATGGTATTCGTCGTCCAGGTAGTACTCCGGTGGGAAGTACTCCTTTGTGCCTGAAGGAACAAGATTTGGTCTCAGCATGAAACACTAAAGCATGTTTTCTCTGTAACATGAAAATACATGATTGGTCAAATTGACAGTCCAGACTACAGGTGTTAAGTTTAATACATACCACAGAAACTGTCATAGCCAGATTCCTGGAGAAGAGCCCCACAGCCAAAGTCAATTAGCTTGACCTCAAGCGTGTCTGTGTTGACCAGCAGGTTCTCCAGCTTTATGTCTCGGTGAAATACCCCACGTCTGCAGCACATGAGACCGGCCGTTGTTGCCTGCTCCATGATCTTTTGAGCCTGGCGTTCAGTGATAGAGCCGAGAGACATTATGAAGTCGAACAGATCTACACATGGTGAAGGTCGTTCCAGGATCATGATGTAACGATCCTGCTGGTCCTGCCAGTCCAGCAGCTCAATGATCTCTGGAACCTTGCCGCCTCTATGAGCCAGTATCAACAGGCCGATCTCTAAAGGAAGGGGCTCAGGATGACCAGCCTAGAAGAAAGATTAGTTAGGCGGTGTTGCTTCCCCAAATATACTGTTGTCAGTGCCTTTACATGTTTAAGTCTACTTACGATGTTGATGTATTTCATGTTCGATGGCTTTCTGGCAATTTTTACTGCCACCTGTTCAACAAAACAACCCTTCTGTTATAATCACATCAAGTGCACTAAAAAGTGAACATAATATATGTTAAAGGGATTGTTCACCTCAAGGCCATCCTCCAAGCGCTTCCCTTCATAGACGCTGCCAAATCCTCCCTCTCCAATCTCCTTGCCGAGCTCATACTGGTCCAGAATGTCACCTGATAAAAGATGAATAATTGCAGCTGATGTGAAATGTCAAGCACTGACAGACACGTGTGTAATGTTTGAGGTGGAATAGACATATGCCTATATTCAATAATTCAATACATCGTGAAAATGAACCTGCACAATACTGATATGGTGGACACTTCAAAATACAGCAAACAGTGATTGAAACTTTTAGAGTGCTTTTAAAAAATATATTTATATTTATAGAACTTAATGTAATGTACTCTACTTCATACTGAAGAGGATCATGAGAGAAGGCCACACATTCTCAAATGACCACTAGATTTACCTTCAGAACTCTTCTTGTGGATCTGATCAGGAGTCTGGTCCTCCTCACTAGGACTGCTGCTGGACTTCTGGACTTTACTGGAGAGCAGCTTTTCAGGACTGTCAGTCCTTCTCCTCTTTCTCTCATTTTCCTCAGCAACATCAGTGGACTGAAGGCTCGTGATGGATATTGGAGGTGTATGAGGATGGAAATCGTTCACATGAGAGCTGTGACAACTTCGTTTTCTCTTTTGGCCACAGAGAAAAGTCATCCACTGGTTGTCATCTGTATTTAGAGATGTAAGACATGCATTAATGATAATGATAATGGCTTATAAAACTGATTTGTATTTTAATGTAAAGTGTAAAGACACACTTCATCTTAGAGATCAGAAACAGTCATGAATTGGGTTTCTTATAGTGAATGCTCATAATTTGCCCTCAACAAATCGGAATCATACACATGTTATGCCCATTATTGAGTCCATTGAATATTAATATTTATACCATTTTTGTATTTCAGTCATATTATTAATAATCTGCAATTATTTAAATGATTTATGTACAATACAGATTGTTGTAAATATTTCTCTTTTAGTGGATAAATTATGAGAAACGTTGATTACCAAACAATTGGTTCTACTTAGATTTGTGTTAGAAACCTAAAACAAGTTAAAAAGGTTTTTTTTTTATTGTATGTGTTCAGTTTTTAGTTACTTTACTCTCAAAATCATTCCTCATAAATCTGCAGACTTTTTTTTAACAAAATTCTCAGCAGAAATAGCAAAACATGTCCACAGAATCTGTCTGGGCCTATATGTACATGTACAGAGATCTAGTGAACACAAAACATGGTCAGATTGACAAACAGTGACTGGATTTACCCTCAGCGTAAAGGGAGAGCGGCTTTTCAAAACTCTCCCACCTCCTCTTCTTTCTCACTTGTATCTCAATCTCCTCACCAACACCAACAGGTGAATGGTTCTCAGCCACATTGGCGCTGGATGTTGGAGGTGTACGAGTATGGAAATCATACACTTGAGTTCCTTGAGAACAACGCTTTCTTTTCAATGCCATAATAACAGAATTCACTGGGAACACTACTATTACCAACTGCAATGAGAAGACGCAATGAGGAGATTCTGAACTGTCTTCTACTTTTAATGCTGCGTTCTTCTGTTTCTATGACAGCGCATTCCGGAACACTTGTTTACATTCAAAATCTCAACACCATAATGGACAAGCTATCTAAACTAGATATATAATAGACAGACAGGCAGATACAAGCTATAATCTTTAATTTTTCACTTCTCAATAATAAGGAACAGTATTTTCACCACAAATATCTACATAAATACAAGAAATAAACTTGTAAATACAACACCAAACTGATTCTAAAACATTATTGTCCAGAAACTAAATAAAACACTGTCATTTTAAGATTAGAAAATCTCAAATAATTTTGATTTAACTGAAGAAAATTATATTAAATGTTGTAATTGCTAACAGAACAAACTCAAAATAACATTATTAGGCCTACATTTAGTCATGTGACGTATGTATGAAGTAAAACATAAAACTAAGACTAACATTATTATCCAGTAACAAAATGAAACAAAGTAATTTAAAGCTTATTTATATACAGTAGATTTTAGCTGAAAATAAGTTAGATTTATTTTTATATATGAGCAATTCCAGTGTTATGGATGTGACATTTGCAGCAAAAACTCAAAACATAAATTCACATAGAAAATATTTATTTAACACTGTATTAAACTGTTTATATTTTCCAGAACAACTGACCACAGAGTTATGGGATCAGAAAAATATCATTCTGTGAACAAATACTACAAATTCTGTAGTATAAATAATTACCCTTACTTTTTCATAACATTACTGCCCTTTTAATTTATGAGCTAAATATTTAAGACATCATGCAGCTTCGGTCACGTGTCACGTCCGTAACGATTTAATGAAAAAGTTTATATTGTGGAATAAATATTATCAAAAATAAAATGAAACTTTGTATACAAAGCCAAAATATGTCCATGCTAATTATGATCGCCAACTCATCTCAGGTCTTAGCTCTAAACAACCACAATTTTGCGTTACGGACGTGACAATTTTTGAACTCCTTATTAATATAAGCTAATGACTAGCGCATATTTGTTCATTATGATGCTGCATTACAATTACTGACTTACATTACATAACATCCATATGTTATATCAAGAACTGAACATTTCAATTAACTATAAACCACTTTAGTAACATTTCAGAAATAAATGTTTAAAAAGAGAACAACAATTTACATATTGCCATAATTGGTGCATAATCTTGGTGTTTTGGCGATGCAGCACCTTGTGTTGAAGCACTTCTTGTTTCTTTTGTAGATAGGCTAACTGACCGTCAAATAATAGATTAAATAGTTAAGATACAATTTATGCCAAACTAGGAATGCTGATTTCGATTCATTTTGCCAACGAACAACCGCTCGTTAAGCGAATATTAACCTTTAACAGATAAATATAAAAAAAATTAATAATAAAAAAAATTGACGTGCCTATTTTATCTGACACATTAAATATTGCATTATAAAATACTGATTTAGGTTATTTTAACATGCGAACAGCATACAGAACTAGCATCTTCACGCACCTGCAGTGTTTTTTTTTAGCAGCATAGAAAAACCGAATAAACTAATAAAAAGAATAAAATAAATCCTGCTCTAGATCTTTTTCACTTAAATGACAAATTAAGATTACAAAACGAAAACATTGACTGAATCCTTTTTAAGGCTGTTTGTCCAATCGTGTTTTTTTTTTCTTCCGTCAATTAACGGAAAAAATGCATTCAATTAATGCTCCGCTGTTATAATATTACAAAACCTGTCAACATTTTTAATAGAAGTCATTAGTTTAAAGATTATATCTTAATTATGATTATGACTTATTAGCATATTTCCTCTGTCTTACTTGTGGTTCATGTGTGTACGCGCGCGCTGCGTATAGTGAAAGATAATGAACCATAAGGCTTTGAAACTATACTTTTCGTAAAGTATAGGCTAAGCATATAACAATTTTGTTATTTACATGTGATACTGCATTAATTTGCATACATGTTTTATAAGCTGTGAAATGAAAGCATCAGTTTGGTGCGAAGTTATCATAAAATATTTGGCTTTGTTTGATTTGTAGATTAGGCTATGTAGGCTATTTAAAAATGTATATAAGAACTAATAATAACTGTTCTTTTCCAAATGGAAAAAGGCTGGTTTGTTGGTTGTAGTCTGCACTAAATCATCAATTTGCCTAGTTGAGTTTAAAACGCGGCTCCAGGCATCACAGACGACCAGCATCAGCGCTGGTTCGTCAACTCCTGTGTCAAACTGTGGCCAGAATATCCTTCTTTCATTTTGGTTCTTTGGCAAAATACATCTGTAAGCACATGTGTTTGCACATGTTACTGTCCTGCGAGTTAACAAATATGTGTTGCTCATAGGGGCCGATCACAACGAACGCGCTATTTCATTTCAGTATGTGAGGCACACCGCAGTGTGTTTTATGTTGACAAGAAAAAAGGCGCGCGGTGCTCTTTTGTATGTCACTATCCGCTTGTTAAGTGTGATGTCACGCGGAGCAGCTTGATAGTTGAATTTTTTTAATAAAATTATGATATTCAAGAGTTGTAAAGTCATACAACTTTGGATGACTTGAAATTGCGACCACAAGTCTCTACTCCGTCATTAAAAAGTTCGCCATAATCATCTTGACAACACACTGCTGTCACCTCAAAGGAAACACCGCCTCTGCTTTCATTTGATTGAAGAATGAAAGACGCCACTGAGGTAACATGCTTTTTCCTCCGGAGCGCACAAAGCGCGCAATGGCAAAAACGCAAGGCGTGCAGGGCGCATAATCAATAACCTCCATGCATTTAGTCTTTTCCCACTGCTAAAGTGCGCACGCCGCAGGTCAGAGTGGGCCACAGCGGAGTTTTCATTTCATGCAGAGCATAAATATGTTTTTTTTATTTTATTAATTAAATAACTATTTATAAAGATAAATTATCAAAGCGACACAATTCATTTTCCAAGCCCTTTATCGAAAATCTAAGCACTTTCAAACCTTGAAAATATATAGCCTACATTAAAATGAAAACATTTTCAAAGATTTCCAGCACCTGGCAAATGCGCTTGAGTGCTTATTAAAATTATTTTACAGGCGGCAAAAATAAGAATAAAATCTTGATATTGATCTAAGCTTTAACTACATTATAGTAATATTATATTTGTTAGAAAATCGATAGGACCTGCAGCTGTAAATATTTCATTCAATATTTTACACAATCGGTTATAAACTATAGCCTAAAAATATAAACATTATAGTCATCCATCGTACATGCCTACAACCAATGACTATTTTTATATGCTTGTTTAACATAGCCTACACAGCAAAATATGGGGACCCAAAACAACTCTATGGGTGTTAATTTCAACACTTTGAAAGTGTCTCATGGGGTCCACTCAAAGCAGAGTTAAATCAACAATTTCAAAAGGGTTGGCACATTGACACCGAAGTAAGGGTTAATTTTAACTCTGGACAGATTTAAAAATGTAACTATATTTAACACCGCCTGGTGTAATATATTGTTATTTTATTCAACTCTCTTCGGTGTAAATATGGTAAAAAGGTCAAATAGACTGTAAATTACAAAAGAAAAAACATTTTATTTGAAAACATTCACCACTTCAACAATTCATTCAGTTTTTAAAATGCAACAATGTCAAATATGCTTTAAATGTTTTATTAGTACAGACAGTATCAACAAAATATGTATGACCAGTGCTCAAAAAGGCTATTTCAGTCCTTTGGTACAAACTTGATGTTTCATCAGAGCAATTTGAAAGTTCATATCGTCACTCATAGTTTTCTTCTGAACTCATAGTTTTCTTATGAAATTACATTTTAAACAACTTGGCATGCAAATCTTTCACTTCTGGTGTTTCCTTGGTCCTCCATATCAAACACAGCAGTTTAAATGAAGGTATAAATGCTGTAAACTTGTG